AGCAGCTTTTGCAGGACTGGGCAGATCATTTTCTCTTCCTGCCCAAGACCATGGGGCTGATGAGGAAACAGGGCTCTGAGAAGGAGCTTTATCATTTGTTATTTCATTTTGATTAAAACTTTGCAAACTGGGATTAATGCTTCTAAAGAGCTCCAATGCACCTACGTGCATTGCTGGATTTGGAGGATCACTCCTGTGTCTCTTTCCTGTTAGATCCTGCTGGGAGATGAGGATGCCATACTAGAGAAAAAGGAACTCATGACCACTTGGTACCACTTCCTGGTTACCCGACTCCTGTATTCCCACCCAACGGTGAAGCCGATGGAGCTGCGGTTTTATGCACAGGCATGAAATAGAATTGTCTGGATATTCTCCTCTGTTTCACACACAAACACACACGGGTTACTGACCTAAAGAAACCTTTGGGAGGGTTGATACCCTACAGCTGCATACCTGTAAAGTGTTCCCTAGAATCTGAAGTGGGTCAGGAGACTGATACAGTGGACAAATGTTGAAGACCCACTCTCTTCAGTGGCTGCTGTCACCAGTCTTGTTCCTGCAAATTGCTTTCCCAGTTTCCTTATGTTAAAATAAGGGAAAAAATCTTGTTTTTGTTAATGTGTTCAGTCTCTGTGACCTGTTATTCCCCATAAAATAACCAAAACAAGACTGTTACATCCAACCAAATGTCTTCCTTTTACCATCTCACAACGTTGGCATTTATCATGTCTTGTAATCTCATTCCACAGTCTAGCATGGACCTGTTCCTGGGAGGAGAATGCAGCCCTGAGCCTCTAGACACGATTTTAATGGCAGCTTTTGAATTTGAGATTCATCAAGTGATCAAGGAATGCAGGTGGAGTTCTAAGGTTTTTGATTCTCTGGTTCTACAGTATTGCTACTCTGTGCATTTACTGCAGTAGGATTTAGGGTAGAGGGTATGGGTACAGCCACCTCACCATTCTTTCCAAGGATTTAGCAAAAGTACATGAAGCAGGCAGCAATTACAAGTATTCTGTTAGGTCTGGGACATTGCAACCAGACATCATGCTGGAATACAGCCTCTGTATTGTATCTTTCTTTTCCTTGTTTCAAATACAGCATTGCCCTGAGCAACTGGTGGTTTGTGGCTCATCTGACTGACCTGCTGGACCACTGTAAGCTCCTGCAGTCTCACAATCTGTAGTAAGTATTCCTTTGCATTGATTATTCAGACACCCAGCAGCAGAGATGACTGAAGCAGCATGGGGATGCTGGTGGAAAAGAAGCATCTTGGGCCTGTACAGAAGATGGAGAATAAAGGTGCTGCATGTCATCCATGGCAGGGGGTTGGAACTAGAGTATCTTAAGGTTTCTTCCAATTCTTAACCATTCTGTGTGCCTCTGAAGTTACAGGCAGCCCAGATGCTCTGAGAAGCAGCAGCAGTTGCTGCCCTGATGAATAAGATGTGCTGTTCAGCAGCGCCTCAGTACAGTGGTAGCATTCTTAAATACCATTTTATCTGAAATACAATCAAGGGCCCAAACATTTGTTGATTATTTGCAACCTAAAAAGAATTCCAGGATTGCATCCTGGGTAAATTGAAGTTTGAGCAATTGGATTTTGCTGCCTGAATTCCCTTGAGGTTTCAGTTTCTTAAAGCACTTTTCTTGCAGTTACATTTGCTCAGTGCTGTAGCTATGTGGCAGCTCTCCCCAAGGAGAAAGCTGACCTGCAACTTAGGCCCAAGGAACGAAGATTAAGATGGCCCATAAGAAAACATGATACTTAAATTGAAATGCTTGTGAAATCAAGTCAGCAGGTTGTTTCCAATGAGGTGCAAATAATGACTCCTGTTTCTTTCCTCTCTTCCCCCCAGTTTTGGTTCAAACATGCGGGAATTCCTCCTGCTGGAGTATGCCTCAGGGCTCTTCTCCCACCACAGGTACCAACCTCTGTTTTTGCTCAGGCAGTAGACTAACACAGAGGCAGCCAACACAAATAACTCCATATTAATGCAACAAACAGGCAAAACTTACAGAGCCACTGTTTGGATCCCAGCAGAGGCGTCCTTAAGGGATCATGCAACATGAGCATGTTTTCTCTCCTGAATGGGAGACAAAAGCTATTTGTTAGAACCTGTGGAGCGTGCTGACCTGGGCAGAATCCTCCTGTCCTGGGGCTTTCCTGGTACAGAACAACTTGTACCAAAGCACTTGGGAGCTGCAGGTGTTCCACAGTTGTATTTGGTAGAAAGTAGAACCCATTTTAGCTCTGAATACTGACTGACTTACTGTTATTAGTGCAGATCCACATTCTCCTTGCGGCTTTACTGTTGCGCTTCTTTAAGGTGTACATGATCAGAGTACCTGATGGTGGGTTTTGTCCCCTCTCTCAGCCTGTGGCAGCTGGGGGTCGATTACTTTGACTACTGCCCTGAGTATGGCAGAGTGTACTTGGAGCTTCACATTGAACGGATACCCCTCAACACAGAACAGAAGGCTCTCAAAGTGCTGAGGATCTGCGAGCAGAGGCAGATGCAGGAACAAGGTGATTGATTTGTAAATCTCCCTGGTTTGTAGGGGTAAGTGAAGTCACTGGAACTAATTCATTCCTTGTTCTCCTGTGGTTCCTCCTCAGTCCGTAGCATCTGTAAGATCATGGCCATGAAGGCGCTGCGGAATAACCGCTTGGGCTCTGCACTGTCCTGGAGCATCAGAGCCAAAGATGCAGCGTTTGCTACACTCATCTCAGACCGGTGAGTGTGAGCAGCAGCTCCCAGAGGGATGCTGCCAGAGCGGGGTGGTGGGGAGAGGGCTGTCAGCCACTGCAGTGGGGCAGAGCAGGTCCTGCTGCAGGCAGATGGACACTGGCTTTCCCTCAGAGCCAGTGCCTGCTTCTGGAGTAGCAAATGACATCCCTGGGTACTCTCATCTGCACTACCCTGCCTGGTTCTTCTCTGCACTGTTTTACTTCATGCAGTCTAGAGATGAAACAGATTGGCTTTATCCAACAGGGCAAGCCTCTTAGACCTTGCTTTGGTAAACATCTCTTTGGGCAATATCTCTCATCTCACGAACTGCCCTTTCCCTTGCTTTGATAGGGCTGTTTGATGAACTGTACAGTGAACTGGTTTGGGTGGAGAATGAGCCCCTTCTGAGCTTTATATTCTTATAAAGCAGGTTATTCTTACCCAGTCCAGTTCACCAGGAAACCTCCACACAAGTCAATGGGAGTCACTTGAGCCACCATTTCTGCAAAGAATCTCAACCCCCATTTAACAGATGTACCAGGGAGTGAAGTTCTGTTGTGTCCCTGGTTCTGTTCAAGCTCATCACATCTGACCATGGAGGGGAGGATGTTATAAGCCTGAAGAGGACGCAGATAAGGCCTGGGCAGAAGCTCTGGCAACTCTCTGAGCTTTTCACTCCCTCACAATCCATGTCATGTATTTTTTTGCTAATGGAAATGGGCAGGTACCAACCTCTGCATGGTTTGAGTCCGGTACTGAAATGACCCCTTGGGTAGGTGGCCGGGCAGTGCTGTCCTCAGCAGTGGGAACAGGGAGTAAGAGATTGCTGGGCTGGGGGTTCAGTTTGGGGTTGTTTCATTTGTTCTTTCAGGGAGTGGGAACCGTTCTGTTTGTTTCAACAGAAGGGGAAAGGAAACCATCCCAGGAAGCAGATCTGCAAATGCAGCATCGTGAAGGCTGCAGCAAAACAGATGAGAAGCTTTTAGAATTGTTTTGTTCCTGCTGCTTATCAGTGTTTTCACACAGCAGAAAAACAGGGCTTTTGTTATGAGCTGGGAGTGTTATTTATGCACCCGCCAGCCCCAGCTTCCTGTGCTCCCTCCTTCACTCACTCCTTTCAAAGAGCAGATCTCAACTCCCACAAAACCAGAATAAATTGAGTGGCCAATTTATTCACTGGCCACTTCCAGGAAATGTTTTGATGCCTTTTGAAACCCTCACAAGGGGCTGATTGAGATGGAGCTCAGTACAGTGAAGTGTTCTGGGAAGGGATTAGGAGATACAAAGCTAACGTGGATGATGTTCCTCCCTCTCAGCTTTTGTTGCGTTTTATACTCTCCCCAGCTTCCTTAAGGATTACTGTGAAAGGGGGAGCTTCTCTGACCTGGACCTCATTGATAACCTGGGACCATCCATGCTGCTCAGTGACCGACTGACGTTTCTTGGTGAGACATGCACAGTTTTCATTCTGGGCTGTTACTTAGAACACAGGTAACTCCAAGGATCGCTTGGATTTGGCTCTTCCTCCATCTGGCTACATCCTGGTTTAGTGATGAGGGGAAAGCAAATGGCTGAAGATGATGGGGGATGCAGCGTGGTCACTACCAGGAGACTGCTCTTTCAGCCGTGCTCGCAGCAGCATCTGTCCTGCACTGCTTTGAGCAGGATAGGCCTTTTCAAGCCAGTATCACTACCTAGAGAGCCTTTGAAACAGCAGCAGATGTGGTCTGGAAGACCTGAGGGGGCTTCCATTGCAGAGAAACGTGTGGTGTAAGTGATCTTGACAACGTGATGATGTTACTGACTTCAGAAAGCTGTCCACACTTTCAAACTCTCATTTCCATGTGCCAAGGCCAAGCTCATTCAACCTTAAGCTCTCTCCCCCCCTTTCGCTGTGGCAGTTGTGCCCAGTAACAGTGGTTTTGGGCTGTGCTGACCTCGCTGCAGCTGCTCTGGGGCCTCTGATTGATGGGCTGAGACAGGAAATGGAGCCAAAAGGCACCTTTCTCTGGAGCTGGGCTTCAGGGAGCACAATCACTGGGGCTAAAACCTAACCAGAGTTTGCAGTAGCTGTTGGCAGCTGGGCTGACTCCTTCTGGCTGGCAGCAGCACTGCAGTGAGGGTGATCCTGAAGTTGATCTGTTCCTGTTTGGTCCAAGCTAGCAAAACTGGAACTGTATTTCCTTCCTTTAAACCTGATCCTAAATTAAGTCTGGAAGCTGACTGTGACTTGGCAAGTTGTTCACATCCCTGTGTGCCCAGTGTCACCAGCCCCAAAGATTCACAGCTTAATCATGAGCTGTGCTTAGAAACTGTGGTTGAGAGAAATCCCCTTTCTGCTGTTGATAAAACACCCTGAAAGGATTCCTGCTGGGAGTTTTTAGGAACATCAGGGGTTCTTTTGCTGGACAACTTTCACATGTCTCTGTCTTGAGCTTGAAGCATTAGTTGAAGGGGATCTGAGTGGGAATCACTGCTGTAGTGTGTGGATACAAACAGAGCCACAGAATAAACCTCACTTTAATCTTCAGGCAGTTCTCACCTACTGATCTAACTGATCTTAGTTAGTACTGATCTAACTGATCTTAGTTAGTACTGATCTAACTGATTGTAGTTAGTACTGATCTAAGTACTGATCTGATCTTAGTACTGATCTTAGTAGATCTGATCTTAGTACTGATCTAAGTACTGATCTAACTGATCTTAGTACTGATCTGATTAGTACTGATCTAAGTACTGATCTAACTGATCTTAGTACTGATCTAAGTGCTGATCTATCTGATCTTAGTACTGATCTAAGTACTGATCTAACTGATCTTAGTACTGATCTGATCTTAGTACTGATCTAAGTACTGATCTAACTGATCTTAGTACTGATGTTAGTACTGATCTGATGTTAGTACTAAGTACTGATCTAACTGATCTTAGTACTGATCTTAGTAGATCTGATCTTAGTACTGATCTAAGTACTGATCTAACTGATCTAAGTACTGATCTGATTAGTACTGATGGTAGTACTGATCTGATCTTAGTACTGATCTAAGTACTGATCTAACTGATCTTAGTACTGATCTGATTACTGATCTGATCTTAGTACTGATCTGATCTTAGTCCTGATCTAACTGATCTTTCTTAGTACTGATCTAAGTACTGATCTAACTGATCGTAGTTAGTACTGATCTGTGATCTTAGCACTGATCTTAGTACTGATCTGATCTTAGTACTGATCTAACTGATCTTAGTACTGATCTGATTCTTAGCAAAACCAGAACTTTCCACATTAACAAGGATCTCAGTTTCATTGATCCACTCAGGAAGACAGTGCAAGCGTTCAGACCTCCCCATTCCGATGGTATCAAAGGGAACAGTTACCCCCTGCTTCCCCCCTCCTGTTCCTGCTTTGTGCAGATGACACCAGTGTCTCTGAGCCACTCGTGCTGTTGCCCAGTGAACACCCAGCACCAGTGAGGGACCAGCCTGGCTCAAGCAGTGAATCCTACCAGCACACTCACAGGCTTTTGGCTGCCTTTTCAGCCAGCCTCTGTTTTAACAACATTCTCCTTCCCCCTGACCTGGCTGCTTTGGAGTCTCAACTGGGGGTGGTTCTGCCTCCGGGTCTGACAGACACTGACCCCTTTTCCCCTTCCCCAACACCCGTGTGCAGCCAAGTACCGGGAATTCCACCGGCTCTACGGGGAGAAGCGGTTCTCCGAGGCCGCCAGGCTGCTGCTGATGCTGATGACAGCTCACATCGCTCCCTGCTCCTTCTGGATGACCCTGCTGACAGACGCCCTTCCCCTGCTGGAGCAGAAAGAGGTGAGCAGCTGGTCACACACAGCAAACCCCCCCCATGGCTCTTTCCTTCCTTCCTGACAGGGGATCTCAAAGTGCTGACCCCCTTTTCTCCCCACACCCCAGCCTGGAGGTGCACCCCCAGTGCAAAAGAGCTCTCCCAGAACTGCAGATCACCCAAGGGTGCCATCAGTGGGAGCACACAGGAGCAAGGACAGAACAAGCCACTCTTAACCTGATTCCCTGCCTTTAGAAAGCAGCAGTGGGATCCACTGGAGTACACAGCACATCCAGCTCCTCTTGGTACTTGGCTGGAAGCTTGTTCTGGTGCTTCCTTCTTCTATACTTCATTATCAAGAAAGCAACCATTGAGCAGTTGCAGACCCATGGCTGGGTAAAGCCCAGAGTACCCGCTCTGACCTCAAAGCTGACCTTGCTTTGTGCAGGAGGTGGCACTGGAGACCTCCTAGAGTCACTTCCAGCCTGAATTACCCTGGTTTAAAGGGTCAGGATGGATCCAAGGGGGTGTGGGAGCTTTCTCTTGCCCTCAGTCGAGTTCTCGTTGTGTGATGTCCTCGGACTCCATCCCCTTCAGTGAATGCTTCCCTCCCCACAGGTCATATTTTCAGCAGAGCAGACGTACGAGTTGATGCGGTGCCTGGAAGACCTGACAGCAGGGAAGGCAGACAAGCAGAAATTCCAGGTACCTCCTGCCCTGAGGACAACTGGATGATGGTTTAGATGGGGAGGGCCAGGGTCACACAGCATTTACATTCCTGGGCAAGGGCAGGAGGGGGAGAGCCCAGTTAAGGCCAGCCAAATGGGATTTCCATAGACACAAACCCAGTGCTGTTCTGCTGGAGCTGGATGGGGCTGGGATGCTTTTCCAAGGTAGTCAAGTACACATGACATGGGCAATGTGGAGATGCTGCCACCCAACAGCTCGAGCTGTGGAAGGTTCCAGGCATAGCACAGGAAGCATTTGCTGCTCATGCAGCTGCCAGGAAAAGGCTTTGTAGTGGTGCCTGTGTGATCTAGGAAGTAGGAAACGCAGCTCTTCCTCTTCTGGGGGTTCCCTTTAACAGGTAGATACTCACATGCTCACTCTCTGAACATCCACCCTCTCCAAGACCCATGGAGAGCCCATCCCCAGCTCACTGCTGTCTGCAGCAGCCTAACCCCAGCTCTGCTCACTTCCAGGATGACAACGTGGAGACGATGAAAGTGGAAATGCTGAGGCTTGCTCTTGCACGGAACCTTGCACGAGTCATCGTCAAGGACGGCACGCTGGAAGCATCCTGAAGGCAGGGTGATTTTACTCCTCCTCTCGTTCACTGTACATAAACCCAAGTGCTTTTCTAAGAATAAATGCCTTGTTTTGCATATTGCTGAGATTTGCTCTTGGCTGCCATAGACACAGCTTCTAAGAAGGAGCTGCCTCAAAAGGCTGAGGGTGTTTGTTCCAGCTGCCAGCCCTCCCAGTGAAGTCAACCCCATCACCAAAGCAGTGGTACCTTGGCTTTTCCAGTTGCTTTGCTCCAGTGCCCAGGGCTGACACCAAACCCACCTTTGAAGACAAGGGAGGTTTGGGAAACAGCAACTTCTCCATTTCCCCTTAGTTTGGATGGCCTTGAGACAACGGGTTGAGTTTTAAGCTCCCCAGAAGCAGCACCGACCGCAGCAGCACTCACCAGTAAGGGCGACCCACAGAGCAAAGTAGGGAAATCAGTTTATTTCACATGCAGCAGATTGAATGAATGCACTGGAGATGTATGTACAGTTACAGCTGCGGGGGTGAGCAGGAACCTCACCCTACAGACAAGGAACATTCAGAGGTTTCTTTCCCAAAGCTTATAACAACGCATTTCCACGCAGCAGGGCTCTGTCCGGCTGCACAGAACAAAGCCAGGCTGCAGAGAGCACCGGTGCTCCTCTGCCCTCCCCAGAGTCACAGCAGGACTCACACTGCATCCCCAGCCTCAGGACACGCTGCCACCTCCTAAGCATCACCCTGAGCCTGCTGGGTCTAAAGTGCTGGCTGAGGCACAAAGAACTCTCTCCTGGTCCCCTAGCCTAGTCCATTGGGTTAAAACTGCTCTTCAGGCATCCAAGAACCCGAGCTTCAGCCCAGGCATTTACAGCAAGTTCCTTGGCTGAGCTCTGACCCATCCTTCAGGGGTTTCTCCAGCTGGTGCCTCCCCTGATCAGGGCCCTCAGCCCTTCAGATCCACCCCCTCCAGTGATTTTACTTTACAGCCCAGTAAAGGAAACGCAGCTGCATGTAACTGAGCTGCGTGTGCAGCCATGGGGTTTGCAGCAGCACCTCCTCCTCCAGCCCTCCTGTCTCAGGCAGGGGTCTGCTCCACTGCTTTAGCTGACAGCTCCCACCCTGCCCTGGTAAGAGCCACTGCCTGGCAGCACTGAGCAGAGCGCAAGGACCTGCCCTACCTGTGCACGTTAAAAACCCCATTACTCTGAACCAGTCTCAAAGCTCACTGGGGCACTGCTGGAGACTGGACGTGGAAGAGGAAGGGACTGCTGGAATCACATCTTTGTGACTTAAATCTTGCTTCTGTAGTGGAAGGGGTTGGCTTTTCTACCTGCTCCAGTGGAAGGTGTCCCTGCCCATGGCAGGGGTTGGAACTGGATGAGCTTGAAGGTCCCTTCCAACCCAAACCATTCTGTGACTCTATGATTCTGCCCCCTGTTAGCACACAGCACCAACGTCCAGCAAAACTGCTTCCCCTTGCAGAGACAATTGCACTTGGCCACTTAATACATTAACGGGGCATCAAACCCCACACATGCACCATCCCAGCCCAGAGGAGCTTCCTTCCATTCACCACCTGCTTGTTCCTATTTAGATACCCTATAGCTCTATTATTTACATCTTGTATGTCATTGTACTCAGCTCAATAAACACAGTATTCAACTACAATAATAATACTGCCCGCACGAGGGGACACGAGAGGCATCTCCTGATCCCTGGATTCAGTCACTGCACCTGATCAGTGATTGTGAAGACATTCCTGCACACTGGGTGCTGTCCTCCACCAACACCGAGCCCTCCATCCAGCCCTGTTTACCTCCTCACTACACAGTTCCTCTTCTCCCACATTAGGGAATGCGATGAAGGCATGAACCAACGTAACCCCCTGCATCCAAACCTCAGCTGCCCCGAGAGGATACAGAAGGGAGGCAGCAAGTCGAATACAGACCAACTAAAGACAGAGCAGCACAGCACAGAGCGAGGGGCTGCTTATGTTGGCTGTTGGGAGTGAAGCAGCAGAGGGGGAGGAAGGGATTTAAGTGCCATTCCAGTGTAAAAAACCAGCGTTCCCTCACGGATCCAACGTTATTGCTCCACATGCGCTGCAGTTCCATGTGGCATTGAGGAGGTGAGAGTCCAAGGGAGGGCATGTGTAAGGGCTCTGCACTGAGGAAGCTCACGGCATCATCACCCCACCAGCCTGTGGTATCTCTGGACAGCGGTACAGGAACGAGCCAACTAAACCCTGCTCTGCTGACAGCTCTGCCCTCAACATAGAATAGCTTCAAGTTCAATGGAGTGAAGGTAGAACCAGACTCACCCCGGGGTCAAGATGAAGGCAGCCAGCACTGATGGTACCGGCTGCCGCCTCAGTCCATGCTTGGCATCAATGTTCCAGGACCCCTCCAACGTGGGGCAAAACGTTCTGGACTAAAGCTACAAGCAGAGTGGTCAGGACATGTAAACAAAGCTGAGCATCACCAGTGGAGAGCACGCGTGTCCCTCGCCACGCCACAGCCATTCCAGTCCTGCGGGAGCCTCTCCTGGGCCTGTCACAGTCTCTGCCAGTGGCCCAAGGTCATAGGTTCCCCCACTGCTCTACGGGGGGAAACTGATCCACTTCGCCCACCTCTGTGCTGGGCTGGTCTCCCAGCGTGAAGGTCAGTCTGTATCTGAGCCTCACTTTCTCCTGCAGGTGAGACAAAACCAAGAGCAACGTGAGAGCAGCTCCTGAACAAACACACGGTTACAGCTCTGGGGAGAGCATCAGACCTCTGCAGCACTCAGCCAGGGGAAGAGGGCCTGGCTGAAGCCCATGGAGCTCAGCTCTTCATCTATTGCCCTTAACAGTTTTTATACCACAAAAGCTTGATTGCTTATCCTGGAGCAGCAGGAACGACCTGTTTGCACACACCGAGCCTGAGGAATGCTGCTGGAATCAGTCAACACTTTCCAGATTAAATTCCTCATCATGTGGAGGAAGATGAAGCAATTCCTGCTCTGCAAACCCCCGAGTGAGGCAGCAAGCAGGAGATGGAGCCAGTCCTTCAGTGAGGGGATCACCCTGCACCCCACAGCGTTGCTCATCTTCCCACCAAACCCCTCTGATGTTTATCCTCAAAGCTTTCAGCTGGTTCTTTAAGGACCCTTTTGCTTTAGTCCTCAAGGAGCACCATGCAGGTGAGTGCATCTGAGCTTCAGGGAGAGGGCTACTTGAGCTGCTCAGGTGCTCCCAGCACCATCAGCAGAAAAGGAAGTGCTGACCACGTTGTTTCCCTGGTCACAGGGACATCCCCACAGAACAGGGGAACAGATGTGAGCTGACATCTGTCTGTTGGTTCGGGTCCATCAGCCTCAACGCAGCAAAAGTACACCTACAGCACCAGCACCACCAAAGCCAGACGCTTCCAGTGCACAAGAGGGTCAAAGTCCTTGTACAGCTCCAACTGCCACCCCTTAAAGCTGAGCCTTATGTGTCTGTAATGCTTCTGCTGAGAGGAAGGTCCTTCTTGTCCCTCTCCTCACTGACTCAGTCTGCTGGGGAAGAGCCCCCCTCCAGCCCTCAATTCACACACCAGTATGCAGTAACCACCTCT